GACGGGCTATTTGCGGACCTGTGGGGTCCCGTGGTGGGGACACGCCACGACAACTACATTCTAGCGCAGTCTGGGCTCATGCAGAAGTTGGCCATGTTGAACAGCGCGTCAGGTCATAACAGGGTTTTTGCACGATTGAGAGCGAATTTTCCGATTGAGAGCGAGAACCAAAAAAAACGATATTCGGGTCCAGGCGCCTCCCGTCATTTCTCGGGAAGCAGGGGACGGGTTCTTCCAAAAAGCGGCGCAAATTGAAGCTCTATTCAGCAGCTTTTCGCGTGCATATGCGTGTCACTGCGATCGGCTGCAGCAGCGAGGAGCTACGCACGTTGCTAGATTTCCCCAAATTGGCTATTCCTGCCCGAAACTGTTTCAGGGCGCCGTCGCCTGGCGCGGTAGGCCCTCCCGTAGCTTCTGCTCCGCGGTGTAGCTCCACAACGCGAGACACCCGCAGGATGACCCGGGTATCGGCTTGTAGCTTGTATGGGCAAGCCCTTCAATTCAAGCCGCACAGCAAGCTCTACCTCTCAGCAGTAGACAAGCTACATCGTATCGCACGATCTCGCTCTCAATCAAATACTTCGCTCTCAATCGTGCGAATATGTGGTTTCATCCGTACTACCTCTATGGGGACCCGGCGTACGGTATAAGCAACCATTTAATCTGTCCTTTCAGCGCGTCTAGTGTCGGCCCTCTCACGCCAGAGATGGCCGACTTCAACAAGCGTATGAGCGCCTGCCGCGTGATCTGGCACTCGTGCCTGAACGGAGGCAACGAGATTTCGCAGTACTTTGGGGTAGCCCCGCCTTCTTTCGAGAAGTACCTTGGTGTGTAGGGGGGTAGGCAAGTGACGTATCGAGCTGCATGCCTTCGGGCAAGATGCGGGCTTGTTTTTTTTTGGCACGTTCTACTGAATACCACCCGTTTACGTCCTGCAACTTAATACATTTTCTTGTTGTCGGCAACAGGCACCCTAGAAATAGCGTGGCAACCGTTGCGTCTTGCGCGTTTTTTTCTGGGTTCGCTTTGCTTGTGTTGGGGCGGGGCAGGGAGGTTTCGTTTTTGATGCCGCCCATCCATCCAGGGTCACACAGGAGGGGGTAACACCAGGGCTTTTTGCTTCTTTTCATTTCTTTTCATGCCCCCCCTTCCTCCTGCGGTGCTTACTGAATTTTATTTGTATCGCGAGAAGGGTCCATCCGTCCCTTCCCTCGTCAACGGTGCTAACGTCGAAGTTTGGTACTCAGGAGAGCTTTTTAGCTATATTTCGCTTTCACCCGCAAAATTCGTAATTTTTTCACCCAATGGGGATTGGAACTCACGACCTCTGCGACTAGCGGATTACGAGGATTCCACTAGAAGACCACCGGGGCGACCGGTCCTGGTTGGCTCTTACCCAATCACCCTCGACAAAGTCTTTCAACGCTAGCGTGTTGGGTAAACCGGGTAGGCCGAAGCTTGTAGGTTTGTGGAGAAAGGCAGCTCGGCCAGTGAGGGCCGAGATGAGACAGTCTTGTATTACTAGAGGGAAGAGGGGACAGCAGAGAGAACACTTACTTGTGTCCGAGGACCCGAAGAGAAAAGCAGAACAACACTCATCCGTCACGCAATTCAGATCACTCATCGAATCTCCGAAGAAACCAAGTAGAAACTCCCTGTTCCTCCGCAATCTACCAATTGCAATCTCCGTAGATCCATGTCCCATATTCAACCATCTTTACTACTATGCTACGAGTATATTAAGGAGAAATAAATACACAAAAAAAAAATACACGCACAGAAAGACTACCCATTCGAGATATACCCACAGTCGAACGGGAATATCTAACAGCTCGAACCAACAAGCGAAGCGCAACAACAGCAGACATTTTTTTTTTAGCTGCCAGCCCTATTTATTAGTATACCCCTCACCCCTCCCTCCCCCCGGACTCACATTGATTGGCGCCCCCCACACCTCAATCAATATGCAGTATTGTAATACTGCTGCGTAGTAAACGGGCCGCCAATGGTAGCAACGCACGAGCCTACTGCAGGTACGTTTTTCAACAAAAACTATTCCACCTCCCGATCTCTATCCGATCCTCACCAAGACGATTCCATCTGACTGATGAATGAATGAATGTGTCCAAGGTATTTCACCTCTTTTGTTTGGTCCGAGTTGTACTTTGGATGGATTCAAGATGAGTCCTGCTGCTTGCAAAGCTTGCAACGTGTTTTCCAACAACAGTTCTAAGTGTCCCTCCCACGTCGATGAACAACAGATTATGTCATCCATGTACACCAGGAGCCCGGATTTGGGACCAAAATGTGCAAACAAACGCCAACAATGCCATTCATTGTACGTTGAAATAGGAAGGGAGCGTTAGCGATCCCAAAGGGAAGTCTTTTGAACACCCATTTAATTCCCATATTGGTTTCGAATGAATGTCGTTTTGTCTTGTTCTTCGGCGATTGGTATTTGGTGGTACGCGCTTTGTACGTCACATGCATGTATGAATGTGGCTAGCCATTTCCGGCATCGGCCACGATTTCCGAATCAAATTTTTATTGGTCGTGGCTCTGTAGTCTACACAGAACCGGGGAGAGACGTCAGCTTTTGCTACCAACGTTCGTTACCGCTGATCCCCACGGACTTGGTCGTTGTTCAACAATTCCCGCTTGTACCATTTCGTAAACGCATTTATTTGTCGATCACCCCCTGCACGCGTGGGTTTGCGCGGTACGGAGCCCTATTTACAGGTTTTGTACCTGGTTCTAGGGGAAAATCAGCTTCCGCAATAATATTAGTACATCTACTACCTAGCTAGTTCGTCAGGCGTTTATGAGAAAAAAACTGAACGGTATTTCGTACACAACTGCAATAGTTTTTCGTGTGTTTGGATACGGACAGGTATTGATCGACCGCAGTAACGGATATATTCGCAGA